GAATTCCAGGCCAGCTGGGGCTACAGAGAAACCCTGTCTCAAAAAGACCAAAAAAAAAAAAAAAAAAAAAAAAAAAAAAAAAAAAAAAGCTCCAGTCATGAAAACAGCCAGCTTTCCCAGTGTCAAGCACTGCCCAGCACTATCTACAGATTGTGGGACAGTTGGTATAAATTCCCTTTGACATAAAAGCAAGTTTATCTGCTAGGTCACCTCCTAGGGAAATGCACTGAGCTCCATCTGCAGCTCTTTCGTTTTTTGAGACAGTCTTACTAAATTGCCTAGGCTGGCACTGGACTCTCTCTAGCCCAGACTGGCCTTGATTCACAATCTTCCTGTCTCAGCCTTCTGAGTAGCTGGACTTAAGAGGCCTCTGCCACTAGATCCAGCAGGAATGGTTTAACTCTTGAACAAGCTTGCTAAAATGGGATTTTCTTTGGGTGTGCATGTGTGCAAGTCAGAGGTTGATGCTGGATGTCTTCCTCTATCACCCTCCGCCTTATTTTTGAGATAGGGCCTCTCACTGAACCTGGAGCTCACCAACTAGCTAGACTGGCCGACCAGTGAACCCCCAGGATCCACCTGTCTTTGCCTCCCATGTAGGGATAACAGGCACCACAGTGCCTGGCTTTTTATGGGGGTTCTGGGGATCTGAACTTAGGACCTCATACTTGTGCAGCAAGCACTTTACCCCCAGAGTCATCTCCCCAGCCCTCAAAATAGGATTTTCTATCTTAAGTTTTCATCAAAGGCCAGAGGTGTATAACTTCTATACATGACCAAGGATATGATCTGGGCCTACCTCACACACACAGAATAAAAATAATAAAATTCAAAAATAAATACAAAAAGAACACAGAACTGAAGAGATGGCTCAGCAGTTAAGAGCACTAGCTGCTCATGCAGAGGACCCAAGTTTGGCTCCCAGCACCTACATGGCAGCTCACAACTCCATGGCAGTCCATAACTCCAGTTGGCGGGAGTTCCAATGCCCTCTTCTGGCCTATGTGGCATTGCACAACCCAGGTGCACTTATATACGTGCTGGGGGGCAGGATTTAAAATCAACAAAAAAACAAGACGAGCATATTTTTATAACTTACCCAGCCCTGAGCACCAACCTTTTTATTGAGACAGGGTCTGGCCCCAATCTAGCAGGACTAGTTTCAAACTCATAGTCCTCCTGCTGCAGCCTCGAGTGTTGACTACAGGTGTGTCCCACCATACACAGCTCTTTAAAAGAACACTTCAAAAAATATTTATTTTTCATATGTACATATATGAGTTTATGAGCATCATGTATGTGCAGAAACCCACGGAGGCCAGAAGAAGGTGTTTGATCTGCTGGAACTAGTGTTATGGATGGTTAGGCACCATGTGGGTGCTGGGAACTATACCCAAGTCCTCTACAAGAGGCTACTCTTAACCGATGCTGAGCCATCTCTCCAGCCCCAGCCCCAGCCCCAGCCCCAGCCCTTTTAAACAGCATGTTTAAACAAGAAAACTATCCAAGCTGGCACACAGCTGCCACTGCTGCTACCCCCACTGGCTTCCTCACTCCACTGCCCACCTGGGAGGGTGAGAGAGCACAGCCCATTCCCCCAGGCCTTTCTCAGTTGACCATCTAGGGTCCTGGCAACAAAGGCCACCACAGAGCTAGCCTCGGTGGTGATATGGCCAGAGGCTGTGACCTCACCAAGAATGTCAGCAGGACATTATTAAAGAAAATTGTTAAGAACTTGGAAGGCCGAAGCAGGTCTACACAGCAAGATGCTGTCTCAAACAAACCAAGGGTTGGACATGTAGCTGAGTAGCAGTGCACTGGCCTAGCATGTTCAAAGCCCTGGGTTCAATACCCAACACCGCACAAGAACAAAATAGAGATGTGGAGACAGAGTTGGGTGTCTGAGCTGGTTTATTTCTGTCTTGCCTACAGCACTATGTGGGCTCCCACGTGTCTCCTGGCCACACTGGCCCTTCCGGGTAGTACCACCACCCTTTACCAGCCTTTGGGAAGGAGACACTTCAGGCCGAGCCTATGCCATAGACTCCCCAAGACTCTGGTGGGCAGTGGTGGCAGGAGGCTGCATGTCACAGCAGTTGAAATTGTAGGCAGTCGGCAGGTTCCCCTGAGCAATACCAGTGAGGCAGGAGTCCCCGGGAACCCTGGTGTTGTCCTCCATGGCTCTCCTTTCTAGGGTGGCCTGGAGAAGTTCTCGAATTCTTCGGTTTTCTTTGGAAGTAGACTCCAAAACAATTTCAAGCTCACCTTCCATTTCTCTGAAAGAAAACAAAAAAAAAACAAAAAAGAGGGGTTGTTGATAACATCACAAATGGAAAAACAAAATTTTCAGGGCTGGGGTGATGGCTCAGTTGGTAAAGTGCGTGCTGTGCAAGCATGAGGGCCCAAGTTCGGATCTCCAGCACCCATGTAAAAAGCCAGGTGTGGCTATAACCCCAGTGCTGGGATGCAGAGTCTGGAGGACCTCTGGGGCTTGTTGACCAGCCAGTCTAGCCAATTGGTGAGCTACAGGTTTAAAGAGACATCCTAAAGAAGAAACCTGATGTCAACATCTGGCCTGCACACATAGGTACACATACCTGAATCTACATACACATGTACACACACACACACACACACACACACACACACACACTACACAAATCAACATTTTAAAAAATATTTTCTTTATTATTTTTATTTTATGTGTATGAATGCATTGCCTGCATGTATGAGTACAACTGTGTCATGCAATGCCACAGAGGTCAGAAGAGGGCTTTGGATTCCTCTGGAACTGGAGTTAAAGACAGTTCATAGCCGCCATGTGGGTGCTAGGAATCCAACCCGGGTCCTCTGCAAGAGCAGTCAGTGCTCTTAACCGCTGAGCCATCTCTCCAGCCCCACAAATCAACCTTTTTAAAAAGAAAAGAAGCCGGGTGTGGTTACACATGCCTGTAGTCCCAGCACTTGGGAGGCAGAGGCAGGTGGATCTCTGTAAGTTCAAGGCCAGCCTGGTCTACATTACATTAGTGAGTTCCAGGCCAGCTAGGGCTACAGGGAGACCCTGTTTCAAAAAGACCAATTAATTAATTAATTAATTGAAAAGAAATTCCAATTGCCCATATGAACCCTAAAGTAGTAAGAACTCAAATAACAGAATGCTTACAGTTGCAAAGGCCACCCAGATCCCGCAGAAATAGTCAAACTACAGAGGCACACGCGGCTGGAGGAGTTCCCATTTTTCCCTGTTATATTTTGCTTTTTCCTTTACTCTGGCATCAAAACACATACCTCTGTTTCCTGAAGAATTGACATGAGCATGCATTAATCTTTAAAATTTAGTAAGTGTGGTGGCTGACCTAACCTGGTCAGCCACCACACTGCGCAGGCCCTGCAGACCTCTTGTGCCCTCCTCTGTAACCTGACCAATATTCAGGGACCTTTTACAAGCATCCGTTCACAGAGCTACCAACGGGCCTAGATATAAGTAGTTGAGGTGGTGGGGGTCGGGGGGACTGGAGGACGGGGAAGCACGATGGAAGACACAGAAGACTGGCTTGGACCACAGGGAGCCAAGCTGAAAGGCAGCAAAGCTGGTGCCGTGTGAGGTGCAGGGAGAAGGGAGACAAGAACATCCATGTCCTCACAGGGCCCCAGCCCCCGGAAGAACCAATGAAGATACCAGCCACCACTTCACAGAGCAGTGAGCTCTATGGGGGCTGTGGGGAGGATCACGACTTTAAGGTGAGTCTAGGCTGGTCTAGGCCATGTATCAAGACCCTGTCTCAAAAGCAAGGAACAAAGCAAAGCCCCAACCAAACTGAAAAACAAACAAAAACCCAAATAGACATTTTGAGATAAGGGGAAAGTTTAACAGGGCCAGATGAGATAATGCACTGGATATGGCTGAAGAGAAAATCAGTAAACAGCATATTAAAAAAAAAGTATCCAGAATGCACTTTGGGAACAATTAAGGCATTGGAGAAGTGTTACCAAATACGATGACGGCAACGAGGACATATATAAAGCAGACATAAACATGTAAACATATCTGTGGATATGTGCATGTTGTGGGGGACAGAAGCCTGGACCATGTGCATATGAGGCAAACCACTCTACCCCTGAGCTATATTCACAGCCCTGAGGATATATTAGTAAAACTCCTTTTGTATTTTTTAAATCTTATTTATTTTTATTTTTTATCTATATGAATGTTATACCTGCATGTGTGTAAGTACACCCATGTTGTGCAATGGCCACGGAGGACAGAAGAGGGCATCAGATCCCCTGGAACTGGAGTTATAGATGGTTGCTAGCCACCATATGGGTGCTGGGATTCGAACCTGGATCTTCTGCAAGAACAGCCAGTGCCCTTAACCACTGAGCCATCTCTCCAGCCCCCTTTTGTATTTTTTGAAAAAGAGAATTACTGCTGCTTATTTTAAAAATTAATAATAAAATGAAAACGGCTCCAGGTGGGAATATTCTCAGGCATCAAAGAGAAGTGAATGCACATCTTCTCTGGAGAAAGAAGCCCCAGCTCAGGCCCTCACAATCCCACACTATATCCAACCAATGAGGTAATGTTGTTGTTTTTTAAAATCCTGTGCAAAAAAGGAATTAAACAACCCAGCAATGAGACTCCTGGGTATCTATCCAAAAAAGGAAATGAAATTAGTATGGCAAAGAGGCCAGCACTCCTGTGACCACTGCCAGCACCATGCACAACAGCCCAAGCTAGAATTAACCTGTGTCCATCAACAGACGAGGGGATATAAACACATGGCACATAATACATAATGGGGTGTTACTTGGCCAGAAAGAGATGAAATCCTGTCACTTGTAACATGGATGAATCTAGACAACATTATGCTCAGTGAACTGCCTTTATTTACTTTATTCTGCCTTAACTGCCTTTATTCAGGCAGGCATGGAGAGTGGGAAGATGGGTGAGGAGGAGAGTGTAGCCAACAGGTATAGTTACAATCAGAAAGAAGAAACAAGCTCTGGTGTTCTATACGGACAGGATGACGACAATTAACAGTAATCTGCTGTACTTCAGTAGAGTCAGGAGAGAGGATTTTGAAGGTTTCACTACAAAGAAATGGTAAGTGTGGGGGGCGGCTAACAGCTTTGCTCTTACATGTACATACGCATCAAAACATCACACTGTACCCCATAAAGCTGCACAATTATGTGATGTATGTTAAACTGTAACTTGCTGTTTGAGGCTGGAGAGATGGCACCGCAGTTAAGACCACTTGCTGCAAAATCACAAGGACCAGAGTTTGGATCTCAACACCCATGTAACAAGCGGGGCATTTCACTAGTGTGTAGTACAAGCTCCTAGGGAGGGAGACAGGAGGGTTGCTGGGCTTTCTGGCTTCCAGCCTACCTGAGAAAACACCAGCCCCAAGTTCAGGAGAGACCCTGGCTCAAACGCATAGGTGCAGAGTGATAGAGGTCACCACGCCCTCTTCTGGCTGCTGCGTGAGGGCATGGGCTCACAAACCCACACTCTTACACACATACACAGACACACAAACACCGTAAACAAATAAACAAATCTCTTAAGTCGTGAAAACAAAGCAAAGCAAATAAAACACGCCAGAGGGTTTTACCAGAAAATTCTATGAAACATTCCAAAGCAGCCACAGTCTCTGAGCCTTTGTGACCTGTGGTCGCATGGCCTACCTTTTCTGCTGCAACGCCTCATCCAGGACCTCCTGCTTTTCCTGCAGCATCCGGTGGAGGTGCCTCATCTCCTGCTGGTACCGAGCTGTTTTGCCTGCAAAGTCCTCCTGCTGTTCCACGAGACGGTGGTGGATGCTGCCCAGCTTCAGTGCTGCCTGCTTCTTATAGCCCTGTGGGAGGGAACTCAGTGAGCAAGAGGTGGCTGCCTCTTGGATGCGTGACCCGCCTGTAGCGTGTGCTGTCAGGCCCACTAGCTGAGTACGCCCCAACAACACTGCATCTTAAAGGGAATGAAAGAGCCAGGTACAGTGTAGCTCGATTAGCAGAGTGCTTGCCTAGCATGCACAAAGCCCTGGATTTGACCCTTAGCAATGTGTAAAAATGGATGTGGTGGGAATCCCAGCACTTAGGAGGCTGAGACAGAAACAAGTTCAAGGCCAGCTAGGCTACACAGTGGGGCTCTGTCTCAAGAAAACAAAACAGAAAGTGATAAAGGAACTGCAGTTGTTAAGAAAACCAAATTTGGGGCTGGAGAGATGCTCAGCAATTAAAAGCACTGGCTGTTCTTGCAGAGGACCCAGGTTTGGTTCCCAACTAACAACCATCTGAAACTCCAGTTCCAGGCGATCCAATGCCCTCTTCTGGCCTCCCAGCTTGCACTCACATGGTGCACTGACATACAAGCAGGCAAAACACTAATACACATAAAACACAAAAACTTTTTTAAGTTAAAAAAAAAAGAAAACCAAATTTCTAATTAGTATTATGCCTGACTTTTGCAGAGATAATATGTTGATAATTAAACATAAAATAACAGAATCACAGAACTGGATGTTTTGGCAAATTAATCTACTGCTGCAAATTTTTGTTTGTTTGAGACAGGGCTTTGTGTAGCTCAGGTTGGCCTTGAACTCAATGTGTAGCTACCAAGACCTTGAGCTCCTGTTCCACCTCCTGTCACATCTACTGTTACGCAGTGCGGAGGACCAGACCCAGGAAGCCATCTACCAAGCCAGCCCCACACCAGTCCCAACAATGGCTGTAATTTTTTATGGCTGATCTTTATCCCCTGACCAACCGGAAATAAGGAACAATATCCATAGCTGTCGACACCGTTTTACTTTATCAAGGAAGTCTCCCAGAATTCAGCAAGGCTGGGATGCAGCTCAGTGGCACAGTGCTTGCCTACCATACACAAGGTTCTGGGGTCCATCCCTAGCAACACTGAAAATAAACAAATAATTTCAAAGGCTCGGTTCTCTTTCTCACCCCACCCCCATGTAATCGAGGTACTCAAGCATCCCCTAGCCCTATCATTTTTATTTTTAAGAATATTTAAGGTCTGTGGGGCTAGAGAGATGGCTCAGCAGTTAAGAGCACTGACTGCCCTTGCAGAGGACCCAGGTTCGATTCCCAGCCCCCACATGGCGGCTACTAACCATCCTTAACTCCAGTTCCAGGGGAATCCAAAGCCCTCTTCTGACCTCCGCGGCATTGCTTGACACGGGTGCACTCACATACACGCAGGCAATACACTCACTCATACACATAAAATAAAAATAATTTTTTTTTAAAAGGAATCTTTTAGGGACTGGAGAAATGACTCCGTGGTTAAGAGAACTGGCTGCTTTTGCGGAGGGCCTGGGTTCAGTTCCCAGCACCCATATGGTGGCTAATAACCATGTATAACTCCAGTTACAGGGGCTCTGATGCCCTCTTCTCACCTCCATGGGCACTGCACATAAAGGTGCACTTACATACATGCAGGTAAAACACTCATACACACAAAATAAAAATAATAAATAAGCTGGGCATGGTGGTGCATGATTTAATCCCAGCACTAGGGAGGCAGAGGCAGGCGGATCTCTGTGAGTTCAAGGCCAGCCTGGTCTACATAGTGAGTTCCAGGGAGACCCTGTCTCAAAAAGACCAAAAAAATAAAACGAATTCTTTTTTAAAATTCTTTTTAAAAATTTGTATTTATTTTAATTTTATGTGTATGAGTGTATTGTCTGTATGTATGTGAGTACACCCGTGTCATGCCACGAAAGTCAGAAGGCGGCTGTGGATTCCCTTGGAACTGGAGTTAAGGATGGTTCGTAGCTGCCATGTGGGTGCTGGGAATCAAACCCAGGTCCTCTGCAAGAGCAGTCAGTGCTCTTAACCGCTGAGCCATCTCTCCAGCCCCAAAATAAAATAAATCTTAAAAAAATAAAAATACTTGGGCCAGGTATGATGGTGCACACCTTTAATTTCAGGACTCAGGAGGCAGAGGCACGTGGATCTCTGTGAGTGTGAGCCCAGCCTGGTTTACATAGTGAGTTCCAGACTAGCCAGGGCTACATAGTAATACCCTATCACAAAAAACAGTTTTAAAAAATGGTACCTTATCGTGTGGCATTTTGTTGTGGGGAAGAACCAATGCTGATTTAACGAGGTGAAAGGTGTTATTTCTGCCAACAAAGCCCTCCCTGCAGGTGAGCAGCACACACATACAACATACATCTCCTTCTGACTTTTCCACATGGGGTCAGTCTTGCTGCTTACCTTCACCCGCTCCTCCAGCCTCCCCAGGCGCACGTTGCCTTTCAGGACCCTGTTGAGAACTCCATGCTTCTCACTTTCTAAACACTGAGCCTAAGAAGTGGAAACACAAAAATCCTTTCAGCTTTATACAGAAAATAATACAGATGGTTTTGCCTGGGTGTACTTCAGCGGCAGACTCCTAGAGTGCTTACCTAGCAAAGAAGCTTTGGTCTTGCCCTCCCTCCCTTATCCTGAGGGCTGTGGACACAGCTGGAGACGAGGGCTAAGCACCAACAAGGGCAAGGGCCATGCTGGGCTTCTCTCCTGGGCACAAAAGGAGGATGAAGCCTGGGGGAGGACTGTAAGGACTTCGGAACACCTCTCTACCCTAGTAGACACACACTTGCCCTTGTGGTTTGAAATGTCCTCCACAGGCTCAGGTATCTGAACACTTGGTCCCCAGCTGGTGGTGCTGTCTGGGGAGGTTTTGGAACCTTTAGGAGGCGCAGCCTTGCTGGAGGAAGCATGTCTCTGGGAACGTGCTTTGAGGGTTTGAAGCCTCACCCCACTTCCAGTTCACGCTCTGCTTCCTACATGTGGCTGAGATGTGATCTCTCAGCTTCCTGCCCCAGCCTCCTGCTGCAGTGCCCTCTCCACCATTATGGACTCTCCCTCTGAAACTTTAAGCCAAGACAAACTCTTCCTTCTATAACTTGCATTTGGCCATGGTTATTTTTTCACGGGAACAGAAAAGGAAGTAATACCACCCCTTCAGTCCTATTCCCGGAGTGAGTGCTGTGGTGAAAGCAAGCTGGTGACTTTGCTAATTTGATTACAACAAAATAAAAGAGAATTAATAAAAATACACAATGCTGTTTTCAAATCAACATGACAGACCATATACCCAAGAAGGTGTCACTTAAAACTGAGTGACTCACATTAAGATCCAGATGGGAAACAAAGCTACTGCACATCATTAACTATTTCAGTTGCTCAATTAAAGAGAAAGGTAACGGCGAGCCTGCCTTCTAAGGCAGCCTAGGGGTAGCAGCTTGATGTTCCCAAAAGGACAGCTAAGACACAGAAAGTTAAAATGACTTGTCCCAAATCACGGGAAACCCACCCAATCGCAAGTCATGATGTCAGCTTTTTGGATCATTGTGTTTCCCTCAGAAAGGTAAAAAATGGAAGTCGGTGAAACAGTATTTGGGGAATTTTCAAGGTCTGTGTGAGCACTAGTGATCCTCGGACACTCCCCAGCAGAGTGGAGGCCTCTCTTGCTGAGTGCATATGGCAGGAAGGTCTCATGAGACTCAGAAGACCAGGAGGGACGGGGGAGGACATGGCTCAAGACTTGGAGCGGGCAGTGACCAGGAGGGAAGCCAGTACCAGCCATGGTCCTGGTGATGCAGGCCTCTGAGTGCTCTGCCCAGATGAACTGGTGGCTCCCATATACCTGCCTGTGGCCAGCAGGGTCTTGGTATATCTAGAAGCCCTGGTGACAGGGTGAGCCAAGGCAGATGAGAGCTCTCCACCCCTACCCCCACCCACTTCAGCTGTGACTCTGAGTGGTCTGGTTTCATGATAAAGGTCAAGACAGGAGCAGACAATGCGTTTATTAAGTGTGTTGGCTATATTCACAACTTTTAAGTAGACACAGAATAGGTGGCTTCCACTTGTATTTCCATGCCTTCTCCACACAGCTGAAGCGTGGCCCTAAAGGAACCATGTGAGGTTGAAAGGAAACTCACTGTGCCACGGAAGCCTTTGATACTCTATGGCCCAAGTGGGAGGTACAGAGCCTACACCCTAGGGCAGGGGTCCCTGAATGTCCTGCTCTGGAAACAAGATGGTTTTGTGCCCACAGGGCACTGATGCGCTGGGCAGGTCATGAGAATGTATGCGAGAAGAGCGGGCAACGCCTTGCAGCCACCTCTTCCTTGCTCCCTTCCTTGCCCTGTGGCGTGGCAGAGAAGGGGCTCGTGATGAGACAGGAAATGCTGGAGTGCTCAGCACTGTGACTGGGACAGCACTTCTCAGGCGAGGCCCCTGTGTCAGAAGGTCTGAATGGCCTCAAGTTTCCTACCATGCTGTTCAAAGACGGCCTGCTTTCTAGAAGCCTCGGGAAGCACTTAGATACTGCCAGTAAAGGGGCTGGTGGGATGGCTTAGCGAACAAACAAGTACACCTGACAGGAGGAGAGAAGGGACTCTTGAAAGCTGTCCTGACTTCCACTTGTATACATGCACACACACACACACACGCACCCACACTAAATTTAAAAATCACTATATATAATCAGACCTGTCAGAATCCTAGCAGCTACTGCTGTGTTGTAAAAAATGCCTTGGAATATCAAGTACAGAATGATATCAAGGCAAACTAAATTAGCATTTCTTTTATTAAAAATACATAACATTCCCCCCAGGCTGCTTTCTGCTCTAATCTGTGCTGCTCTACTGTTACTATTTCCTCCTACATAACAAGGGCTAAAAGCCCGGGCCCATCTCCCTGTGGAGGAACGGAGTATCGTTCTTCCATGTCCCCACACTCTCTGTCCCTCATTCCTGACTGCCACGATGTCCACTAAGAGGCTTCTGTTGAGACATGAGTCACCCTATACCTTCTAATTCTACAAGCCAGAGGCGGCAACACTGCGTAAACATGCAGGCACTATGTGTCTGACATACCATAAAATGCAGACAAGACTTTTAAAACATCACCTGGAAGTCCGCCCCTTGGGGGCAACTCACTTTTAGAGTTTGGGGGAACTCCTATCAGACTTTTCTGAACGCAGTGGCTTGGCACACAGTAGCTGTCTTCTTCCACTGAAATCTGCTGCAGGCCTCTTTTTGAATCAGTGTGGAAATGCCTAGAACCGTGCCAGGTTCTTGCTGGCTGTGCGGTGTTCCAGCATCTAGGACATCAATGATTGACTTAATTCCCTTCCCTGGTACTGGGGCTACTGGGAATGACGTGGAATGCTTATCACTGCAGCTTTACCTTTACACCCTAGCTACATCTACAGGTGGCCTCTATTTAACTATGAGTCTTGTTCTCTCTCTTAACCCCCTCCCTCAGAATGAAGCCCACAGCTTCGCACCAGTGAGCCAAGTGCACGACGTGGCACTGAGCTACGATCTTTAGCCTTGTGTCTAAGATTCTTATGACTCATCTATAAAGGGGAACTATTAAGACACCGTTATAAAGATGACTAAAGATGCCTCTTGCCAACAGGTGATGAACACATGCGCACTACACCCAGCTCCCCGGTTTGTCTTCTAAAATAACATTTTGGCTGTTATCTAGAAATTCAGGTTATTTTTCTTTTCTTTTCTTTTTTCTTGTCTTTCTTGAGACAGGGTCTTCCTGTATTGCAGCTGGCCTGAAACTCGCTATGTAGACCAGGCTGACCTCGCACTCAGAGATTTGCCCACCTTTGCCTCCCAAGTGCTGGGACTAAAGGTGTGTGCCACCACATCTGAAAATGAGTAGCCCAGGCTGGTCTGGAACTCGTGCTCCTCCTACCTCTCCCTCTTCAGCATATCCTATCAGTGTGCACCACCACAACCGGCTATTATTCTTTTTAAAATGTTTTGGCTGAGCCAGGCAGAGGGCACACAGCAGTGATCCCAGCACTCAGGAAGCTGTGGCAGGAGGACCACACATTTTGAGGATAGCCTGGGTTACACAGCAAGGCCCTGTCTCCAGAATTTAAAAAAAAAAAAAAAAAAAAAATTCAATAGCTAAGAGATCAAATTTTGGAGAATTTGGAAGAGTGTGGCTGAAATACTAAAATATGAAGATTTTTATGGATTAGCTTTAAAAATACCCTTAAAGTAACTAACATTGCATATTAAGCTGAAGTTTACTTAATATAACTTTGAGGAAACTTACCAAATACTTAAGACTATCTCGTTCCTTGGTGACATTCTCTGCCAGGCCAACGAGGTTTGCCAGGTACTGGTGAGCAGACATCTCCTTCCCCATGGCCTTTTCCACTTGCTTTTTGAGGACATCAATTTTCTTTTGATAACACCTATAATGCCCCCGCAGGGGCAATAAAAAACTCATTAGCCTGTGTGGCTAGGGTGGGGTGACTACCTGTATTCCAAAGCCAGCAGACATGTTAATATTTCAATGCTGTACTTGGGGCTGGGGATATGGCTCAGTGACATGCTTGTCTTGCATGGATAAAGCCCTGGGCTCCAACCCTAACAACCACAAATTTAATTAATTAAACACTACTGTTCAGCAACCTACATCTTCTATTAAATTTCAAGATGAGAGAATTTAGTCTAAATCCAGTTAATGGGACTCAAAAGCCAACTGTGATGGGACAAACCTGTAGTCCCAGCACTCGGGAGACTGAGGCAGAAAGACTATAAGCCAGTCTGTGCTACAAAGTAAGTTCCAGGCCAGCCTGGCCTAGAACGTAAGCCCTGCCAGAAACAAAGCAATCAATCAAACAAACAAACACAATAGGACTTGAGGCTGGAGAGATGGTTCCGTGGTTAAGAGTGTATATTGTTTTTTATTTTTATTTTAATTATAATTTTTATTTTATGTGTATGTGTGTATTGCCTGCATGTAGGTAAGTGCACCTGTGTCATGCAATGCTCATGGAGGACAGAAGGGGCTATCAGATCCCCTGGAACTGGAGTTACCAACAGTTGTTAGCTGCCATGTGGGTGCTGGGATTTGAACCTGGGTCTTCTGCAAGAACAGTCAGTGTTCTTAACCACTGAGCCATCTCTCCAGCCCCAAGAGTGGGTATTGTTCTTACAGAGGACCAGAGTCCAGTTCCCAGCACCCACTGGTGGCTCAAAACCACTTGTAATTCCAGCTCCAGGGGATTCAATGCTCTCTTCTGGCCTCAGATGACACCTGCATGGAAGTGCACAAGCCTACACTAACACACACATATACACACATAACTAAAAAGAAAAAGAAAATCTTTAAAAATAAAAACAGGAAGCTGGGCACGGTGGTGCATGCCTTTAGTCCCAGCACTCAGGAGGCAGAAGCAGGCAGATCTCTGTGAGTTCAAGGCCATCCTGGTCTACACAGTAAGTCTCAAAAAGACCAAAATAATAATAATAATAATAATAAAATTAAAACAAGATTCACACAATGCCTAGCTATGAATCAGCTAATTATTATTCCTCTTTCTGGTTCAAGTTCTAAAAGACACTTTTGAAAACAGAATCCAAACAGGAAGGTGGGAGGGCAAAGGTGCTGGGGTACTGGGTGAATAGTATCAACATACACTGTATACATATATGAGATTCTCAACAAATAAAAAATAAATAAATGTATAAGTGTTTTAAAGAAGAGGAAGAGGAGGAGGAGGAGGGATTCAGTAATTTTAAAAGAGACTTTGGGGACACAGGAAAGAACTTCTAGAGTATGGGTCATCATATGATTATCAAGCACATTTGAACTACAGACTTGAGAATTGTTGGCCAACAGAAAAGCTCTGCTTGTACTTATAATTCTGATATCCTTTCACAATGGTTACTCTTCAATTTTACAGCCACTATCAGAGAAATAAAAGAAAATGAAAAAAAAAAAAAAAAGGAAATCAAATATTTTTAATTGACTTTTTAAAAAGCCAGAAAACTGCTAGGCGTGATGGCACACACCTTGAATCCTAGCAATTGGGAGGCAGAGACGGGCGGATCTTTGTGAGTTCGAGGCCAGCCTGGTCTACATAGTGAGTTCCAGGACAGCTGGGGCTACAGGGAGACCCTGTCTCAAAAAGACCAAAAAAAAAAAAAGGCCAGGAAACTTAAAAAGGAAACACACATGCACACACACAAATGCACATACATGGGTGCAGGCACATGCATGTGCACACATATCCTCACACACATGTACATGCACACATTCACCTACTTGTTTTGTGTGTGGTCCAGCTCAGCTTCTGGCACACAGACAGACATACAGACACAGACACACAGGCACACACACCACACTTTTTTTTTTCACACACACACACACACACACACACACACACACACACACACACACCTGTTTGCTTTGTGTGTGTGGTCCAGCTCGGCCTCCAGTGCTCTGTTTCTGGCAGCCCAGCTGCTCTTCTCGAGAAGCAGGCTCTTCTTCTGCACCTGCAGGACCGCCAGCTTTCCCATCAGCTCTTCCATCTCAGCACTTTCTTTCTCTTCTTCTTTTTGCAACTGGCTGAGAGACAAAAAAAATGGCGGGCACATGTATACGTGCACTGGGGCTAGGTCGAGGCAGTCCCTGCCAGAGTGACTGGCAGCCAGCCTCCAGGCCATGGAGGACACTCTGAAGGGCCTCAGAAACACAGCTCCCCTGAGCCCACAGCTCGGGAGCAGAGGGGTGAGCGCATGGCTGGGTCCACACTTCTTTGATGGCGGCTATATGACTTCTGCCCAGTTTTTCGTTTAGTCTGAACTTATATACTCCTCTTTCCAGGAATAAAATATCCAACACAGTTCCACATTCTTCATGCTATACATGCCCCAAATAATTCCACTGCTAAAAGGTGTTTTTATTTAGGACATGGTAATTGTAAAAGCACGTTTCCCAGAATAAAAGAAAGAACAGATGGGCACACATCTGTGGAGCAGTGGGAAGTGTAGCCAGGAAGCACTGAGCTGCCCACACAGCAGACAGGAAGAGGCAGCATATTCCGATTAGCTTGTTACTTGTAATTTTAAAACATAAGATCCAGAACCTGGGCCTTTCACTGAAAATGAACTTAACCATCAATTATGGGATGACCTGTTGGACTGGATTAGGATAAAGGGCTGAAGAACACGTTGAAAATACAAAGACTTCTGCTTCTAGGACACCCAGGGGGCCAGGTTTATCCTTTGGCCAAAAATCAGACAAAGCAAAAGAACCAAGAGTTTTCAGACTTTGGAAGACCCGCAGGGCAGGCCTGTGAAGCTGGAGGGCAGACAAGAGAGGCCGCCCTGCTGTTGGCAGCAGAGGGGAAACCCACAGAACCTGCAGATCTGCTGGGTCTGGGAGTCAGAGATGGAAGGCCGAGGAAGTTGAGGCAGCCACAGTCTGGGGAAAGACACAAGAGTTGCACAGAGGGAGAATGGCCCTGGAGAGCACCGGAGATCACCACAATCTTTGAGAACTGATCTGCACGTGAGTGAGAGGAAACTGCCTGAGGCTGAGGGAGAAAATCAGAAATGAGGAGACAAAGCAATCTGAGAGCCCGAAGGATGAGGAATGGTGCATGAGCTACTAGTCAGAGGGGACCTCATGAAGGCTGCTGGAATCCTCAGGACCATGTCACTGGCTGAGCAGTGGGGCTGGGTCACCCCTAGTCCAAAGGCCACTGGGGGCACACCCTAACAAACAAGGCTTTCAACGCTTCCAGCTTCTTTCTAGCGTAGAACAAAATCTGAAATTGCTTAAAGCAACGCAGTAACTAACATCCACTAACATAAACTAGGCTATCCAGCATCCAGTCAAGAGGTGACATAATGTTAATAGATGACCCTTGATCAGGAGAGAGATAAAACCACAGAACTGATTCAGAAGTGACAGTGAGGGTGGCACTGGCACAGGTCTAAACGGCAATAATAAAGATGTACTATCTGCTAAAGGAAACAAGAAAAACCCACATGATGATGAGAGGGAAAGCTGGGTGTGGTGACACACACCTTTAATCCCAGCAGAGGCAGACAGAGTCATCAACAGATGCTATGGGAATAACAAGAGATGAGGGAGCATGAAGACAGCTACAGAAACCATCTAATTAAAACACCCAGAGACGGGAGGCAGAGGAAGGCAGATCTCTGTGAGTTCAAGGCCAGCCTGGTCTACATAGTGAGTTCCAGGCCAGCTGGGGCTATGGGGAGACCCTGTCTCAAAACAACCAAACAATACCACCACCACCAACAACAACAACAAAAAAAAAAACACACAAAGATAGTGTGTGTGTGTGTGTGTGTGTGTGTGTGAGTGTGTGAGAAAACCGAATGCACAATGTAAGGTAGGGGTGTGTGTGTGTATGTGAAAACCAGAATGCAGTGTCCATGGGATAGTACCAAGCAGTCCCAGGAGGAGAAGTGAGACAGGGAAAACAGAAAAGTCTTAGTGACACTTCACATTAGAGGTACAGCTCAGTGGCAGGGTACCTGCCTAGCTTTCTTGAGAGCTTACGCTTGGTTCCCAGTACCACCCATCCCCCCAAAAGAAAAAGATAAGTGGAAATACTTCCAGATTTGATGGAAGATGTAAAGCTATGCCATGCCACATTCTAATTAAGTTTGTGAAAACCAACGACAAGCAAAAACCTCTTAGGTCTGAAAGAGGTGGGTAAGGTTGTGGTCCATGCCAAAAATCCTGAGATTTCACCCAGGAGGTGGAGGCAGAAGGGTCATGAGTCAGCCTATGCTACAGTGAGACCCTGTAAGCCAAGAGCAGACATGATTATAAAGATGGTAGATAGGGGACTGGAGAGATGGCTCAGAGGCTAAGAACACTGAATGTTCTTGCATAAGACCCGGGTTCAAATCCCAGCATCCACATGGCAGCTAAGAACTGTCCATAACTCCAGTTCCAGGGGATCCAACAGTCTCTTCTGTCCTTCTCAGGCACTGCACGACATGGGTGCACTTACCTACATGCAGGCAATACACACACACACATAGGAAAAAAAAAGATGGCAGATAGGCCGGCCAGTGAGTTGGCTCAGCAGGTAAAGACGTGAAACCTAAAGACCTGAGCTCAATTCCCAGGACTCACATGGTGGAAGGAAAGAAGTGATTCCCACAAATTGTCCTCCAACCTCCCCATGTACACCGGGGCATGTGAGTCCCTCCCCCACAAGACGAAGAAATGAAAACTATGTATTTTTTTAAAGGCAGCAGATTTTCATCAGAAACTGTGCAACCCAGAAAACTACAAAGAATACCTCCAAAAGAAACTAAAACAATGGAGGCAGAGGCAGACAGATCTCTATGAGATGGAGGCCCGGCCTGGTCTGTATAGTGAGTTCCAGGACAGCTGGGACTACAGGGAGACCCCGTCTCAAAAAGACCGAAAAAAAAACACAGAAACTAAAACAAATGTCCCCAATTGCTGCCTGAACTCTTCACCCAGCGAATCAGCAACAGAAGTGCTGGGAAGCTTTCCGTCCTCCTATCTGATGCTGTGCAAAGGGTTCCTTCCATCCTTCCTATTTCAAAACATCACCATCTAGTATTTGCTCCTATGGAGAAAGAGATAATGAATCTGCATTGTTTCCAATAAACAAGGACTAAGGCTCTGTTTTGTTTCAACAACTGTGCTAAAATCCCTCTCTCATGCAATGATTTGTCTTGTCTGTAGAACCATTTCATCTCTAAGTGGCATAGTTCTGCCTTCTTTCCAGAGCTTCTGACTTTTTCCTTTCACACCAGGCCCTTGTTAACACTTAGTAACCAGCATGGTTAATGTTGCTCAGAAATGGGGTCAGAGGCCATTCTTGAACTGTATCCAGGCTCAGCAGGAACGTTTTCATGTTTCCCTCTTTTGTGTGATATAGTAGTCTTATTTTTCATCAGAATCATTAAGAAAGTTCTCATCTATTCCTAACACTCGCTATGAATTAATTTTTTATTCATTTATTTTGCATGTGTGCACGAGTATACATGCACAATCGTGCACGCTGCACATGGAGGCCAGAGGACAACTTGCTATAGCCAGTTCTCTCCTTCCTCCATGCAGGTCCGAATGGAACTCAGGTGCACAGGCTTGGCAGCAGGGACCTTTACTACTGAGCCATCTCCCAGGCCCTGGATTTATAATGCAGTTTCACAGCGAAAATGAAAAGCACTTTTCTTTTTGCAAATTACCCTACCACACCGAATCAGGGGCTAGGGGCCTCATTAAATCAAGTAGGAAGCCTCAGCTTTCTGTTCTCCAGAAGGGGTTATATGAGACTCTTCTCAAGTCCCTGAAGGTGCTGGTGGAGGTAGCGAGGCCCGCAGCTCCACTAACAAACGCTTCACCACTGAGCTGCTCCCCAGCCTTCTTTTCACTTTTTGGTCTCACTAGACTACCCAGGCTGATCTAGAAAAATTTTACAAATAAGTATGTCTTTAGATAGTGTCTTCCTATGTAGCCCAGGCTGGCCTAAAACTCTAGCTCCCTCCTGCCTCAGCCTCCTAAATGTAGGGATTGCAGGTGGGTACCATCACCTTGTCTTGAACTATTCTGGAGCCATTGTTTACTCCCTATCCTAGTTTAGAGGCTACAATAACATCCTATCTGTGGTTTCCCTTTCTACAGTCTGTTACTGTCAAATGCTGTTTCAAGATATTAAATACAGGGGCTGCAGAGATGACTCAGCAGCTAAGAGCACTGGCTGCTTTGCAGAGGACCTGAGTTCAGTTCCCAGCACCCACGTAGCAGCTAACAACCATCTGTAACTTCAGTTCCAGGGGATCCAATGCCCTCTTCTGACTTCTGTGGGCACTGCATGCATGTGGTGCACTTACATGAAGGCAACACTCATACACATAAATTAAAAATAAAATAAAAAGTTTATAGATATTAAATAGAAAAAAAAATCTAGAAATGAAGAATTCATAATTTTTAAACAGTTTCATTACAATACATTGCTGTAACTGTTCTATTTTACTGTTTGTTTCTGTTAACAGTCTAATTCTGCCTAATTTATTAGTTGAACTTTATCACAGGTGTATATGTAGAGAGAACAATAACATAAGGTTTAGTTCTATCCTGGGTTTCAGGAATCCATTGGGGGTCTTAGACTGTATCCCTCTGCATAAGTGGGGAAAGCTGGGCATGGTGGTCACACCTACAATCCCAGCAGGGAGGTAGAGGCAGGAAGATCTCACACACACACACACACACACACACACACACACACACACACGTAAATAAAAGATAAGGGGGCACTGCTGTGTGTCTGCATACATTTTGTTTCCAGAAATTCCTCATTTCATCTGGAAAACACAAGGGCCATTTTCCCCTCTCTGATTACACATTTCTATTGCAGGGCATTTTGGTTCTTTGTAGTTTTAAATTTCAAAAGATATTTTATGAGTTCCATGTCATTTATATTTATCCACATATCTACCAGTGTCCTTTTCTTTGAATTTTACTTGTCTTGCTTTTCAAACACCTGCTTTCAATCCTTCCCCCACCTAAGGTCTACTCTTATGATTGCCTTTAATATGGGTCTCAGAAGAGTGACAGGTTTGGTTGAAAACATCTTTATTTTGCTTCCATTCTGGAAAGGCATGTTCTCTAGTAATAGAATTCTAGGTCACTTGGGATTTGTCTGTTTACCAGCACCATGAAGCTGTCAGGGACTGTATATCAGCCAAGAGTTAAACCTCCTGTTGACACTCAGTCCTCTGAAGGGACTCTAGTTGCTATAGAGTTTACTAGAGAGGTCTGGGTGTGGCTTTCCAGATGGTACCATCTGTGACCTCCTGTCTGCCTGCAGTTGGGGAAGTCTTGGCTAACAGAGTCCGGAATCACTTGCTCTCTCAGATCCACTAAGCACCCCTTGCCACCCTGTGTGCCATCCTATTTTACAGTTCCTAAGTTCACACATTTCAGCAACATACTATCTACAGATAGACATCCACTGAGCTCTTAAATACTATACTTTTCCATTCTATATAAACTCTGTATTTGAGACAGATGTGGTAGCAGCACATGCCTTTAATCCCAGCATTCTCATTCTGTGAGATTGAGCCAGCCTGGTCTACATACAGAGTTCCAGGACAGCTGGGGCTACAGGGAGACTGCCTCAAAAAGACGATGATGACAATGACGAAGAAGAGGAGGAGAAGGAAGAAGAGGAAGATGAAAAGGAGATGAAGAGGAAGAGGAAGAAGAGGGAAGAGGAGGAGGATGAAGAGGAGGAAGAGGAAGAGAAGGAGAAGAAAGAAATAACTCTGTAGTCCACGTCCCACATCATAGTCTTGGGTGAAGCCACTTACGATGGCTTACATTCCACTTCATGGCTATATCCCTTTATTTGGTCAGCTTCCTACTGGAGCTCTAGATTCCCACTTCTTTTTTCTTTCTTTATTCTGAGACAAGACTTGAAGGAAGGTCCCAGCCACAGGCCTAGCTGCTCCATTTTTCCCCTCTCAACTGTTTTGTTTCTTTGTTTTTCCCTTAGGACAGTCAAATCACGCCGTACATGAGGAAGTTTCCTAGAACGGTAATGGGAGCAACCACCTCCGGGAGCCATGTCCACCCCTCAAGTGAGGACAGTGACACCTCTTCAGACCCTTTGAAGAGCCAGGACTGAGATAATGATCAGTCAGACCTTGGTCTGGCCAAGATTACTGTCTCCATCAGCCAAGCCTACCCTGCCTCTTCGGTTCCCTCTCTGGTAAAAACTGTTTCTGTAGCTGGTGAAGACAGACCTGGGGTCACTGAGCCCCTTTACCTGTTCTTCCCAACACGGCTATATTGACTGATCTCCTATCTCTGACCTTCACTACTACCTGTCTCTTTGATATATTTGGTATATTGGGATGGGTGGCCCAGGCTAGTCCTTTGTGATCCCCAGAACTGAGGCTTTTGCCTTAAAACTCTACTAACAGTCCTGCTTGAACCACCATCATCCTGCCAAGATATCCTGAGTGATGGAATTATAGGTGAGTGCCACCACACCCAGCCCATTATTTTATATTATCTTTGACTTTAAAACTAATAAAGGGCTAAAACAACAGACACAGAATCATATACACACACACACAGTGTGCGATGCATCCCTAAGGGAGCTCCAGCACAAAGTTATGAAGCATTTGCCATTCTTATGCCAGGACCAGAGAGGTAAAAACAGACTAGAAAAAAGGTGAATGGATGGGTGTCAAAGCTGAGGCAGGAGAATGGCTTGAGCTTGAGTTTGTTGCTAGCCTAAGCTACATACCTTGCCACAAAACAAAACAATGAAGCAAGGGTAGTGCTTGAGTCTCTAACGGCAGCAGTGAAGGAGGACAAGCAGAATGACTGGGATTCAAGCCCTGCCTGGACCAGAGTGAGATTCTGTCTCAAAGAAAGCAACAACAAAACAATGAAAAATGTGGGCAACCTCTCTGTACCGTGCATGTGACAGGCAGAGAGCCTGGAGCACTGGACAGACCTAGCATCCTTACCTCCTTAGTTCATTGACGATGGAGGTGTGAACATCCATTGCGATCTTGCTGTCCGCCTGTGTTTTGAGTTCTTGGCATCTGGCCTGTAAACTCTCCAGCTGTTCCTTGCTTTCTATCAGCTGCTTTTCCTGGCCCTGGGTTTTAGCCTCCAGAAGCATAACCTGTTTAGTCAGCTTAGAAACTGAAAAGGATAAAGAGTTGGCACAGAGGGCTGAATTAAATAACAGTCTGAGCCAGGATGGTAGTGCCTGTAATCTCTGCACTCAGGAGTTTGGGGCAGGAGGACCAGGAACTCCAGCTAGGGTGTCAAAAAGACCGCCTGCATACACATGTGCACACACACACACACACACACACACACACACGTCTATATCTCTAAAGAACATGTACAGACTCTTTTCCTCTTCACTCTATCCTAAATATGTTACAAAAACTATTTGCATAAATTTATATCATCTTAGGCTTTACAAATAATCTAGAGCTGATTTACAGTGTGCAGGAGGATCTGTGCAGTTCACATGTGGACACCACACCATTTTATATGAGATTTACACATCTACATATTTTGGTGTCCCTTCTGTGTGCTTCTGTCTGACCTGTCTGTACCCCATCCCCTCTGGGCATTATATGATCGTGCTATGGCTCACTGTAATATTTAATACAACATGAACTGAAAGAAGGAATATTAAATCATACCTAGATGTGCATGCATAGACCATTATTTTATTTTGTCCCTAAATACTGCAAGAATTTTGACATTTTAAGGACAGAGACAGACTAAGAACTGAATTTATAATTTTTCATTTCTACTCCTCCCTAAGATGTAGCTTTATGTTTTGAAAGCAAATTGTGGGTGTTTTTCTTTGTTGTGACATATACAGGATTAAGATTTGCCTGGGTGTCTGCTGAGAGACGACCACCTACAGCATATGCACAAAACTTAAAATCGCTCTACTTGGGCCAGGCGTGGTGGCGCACACCTTTAATCCCAGCACTTGGGAGGCAGAGGCAGGTGGATCTCTGTGAGTTCAAGGCCATCCTGGTCTACATAGTGAGTTCTAGGACAGCTGGGGTTACAGGGAGACCCTGTCTCAAAAAGAACCCCCCCCAAAATCGCTCTACTCTAGAAAAACACTGAACTGATCATCAGAGTCAATAGTTAGGTTGCGGGGGGGTGGGGTTTGAAGAGATGGCTCAGTGGTTAAGACCATTGGTTGTTCTTGCAGAAGACAGGGGTTCAAACCCCAGCACACACATGACAGCTAACAACTGTCTGTAACTCCAATTCCAGGGATCTGACACCCTCTTCTGTCCTCCACAGGCATTGCATGACACAAGTACACTTACATCCATGGAAGCATAACACTCATATACATAAAAAAAAATTTTTTTAAGTTAGGTTGGGGGGCTGGAAAGATGGCTTAGTGGTTAAGAGCACTGGCAGTTCTTGCAGAGGACCCGGGTTCGAATCCCAGCATCCATATGGCAGCTAACAACTGTTCATAACTCCAGTTCCAGGGGATCTGACATCCTCTTCTGACTGCCACAGGCACTTACACACATGTAGGCAATACAGTCATACACATAAAATAGATAAAAATAATAAATACAATTTTTAAAAAGGTTAGGTTGGTTCTTGAGAATTTGAAAATAAACATGATGAACAGACTCCATCATATAAGTGAGAAGGGTTGCCCTGCATCCCCTGCTTAGGAAGAATCATCAACTCTTATTATTTGTCATGTTTGAGAATATTACACTGGGAAAATGGGCTGGAGAGACAGCTCATCAGTTAAGAGCACTGGATGCTCTTCAAGAGGACCTGAGTTCAGATCCCAGTACCCAGGTCAGGTGGCTGACAACTGCCTTGAACTGCAGCTCCAGGGGATCTGATAGCCTTTTTTTGGTCTCCAAGGGCACCCAGACACACATGGTATACATACATACATACATAAACACAAATACAAAAACAGGCCAGGCATGGTGGTACATTCCTTTAATCCCAGCATTTGGGAGGCAAAGGCAGGTAGAGCTCAGTGAGATCAAAGCCAGCTTGTCTACATAGTGACCAGGCCAGCTGGGGCTACAGGAAGACCCTGTCTCAAAAAACCAAAAAAAAAAAAAAAAAAAAAAAAGGAAATAAAATAAAAATAAAAACATCATATATCCAGAAAAAAGCAAATTAATTGACTTATGATTTCCAACCAGAAAACAGAGTAGGCGACACTTTCTTCCTCTCACAATGCAGAGTAGAGGCAATTTGGCCTGGGCAGCCTGTGGAGGGGTTCCCAGAGCCCTCTCGTGTTCTTTGAGCACAGCCTGGTTATCAGGCACATGGGATCAAACCCCAGCAGCTTTGGCTGTGGCCGAGGCTGGCAGTGAACACTTCTACTGTGTGGAGGGAGTTTCTTACATGAGCTGGGCATGAGGGAAATAGGAAGGAGGCTCCCAGGGCTCAGGCAAGACAGCTGGTTTCAGTCCCCAGGCCTGTGTTGTTCTTCATTAGAAAAAGGAGTAAAAGGGGGTGGGGCGGGCAGAGAGGAAGCCACTAATTTTTGTGCTCATAAATATGATTTCAATCAAAACAGAAGAAAAAAAAAACCTCATAGCCTGGCTCACTCTGAAGACCACTGCCAAATGCTGTGGCAGCTCTCGGGAACAGGGAAGGACATACTTGAAGGCGGGGTACCCCTGGGAAGCACCTGAGAACCACAGAGCTTTAACCTATGATGTCCACGGCTCTGACAGAAGTGTGAATGAATGGTTCATCAAGGAGTGGTGGTGCACACCTGTTATCCTAGCCCTGGGGAGGCTGAGGCAGGGTGATTCTGAGTTCAAAGGCACTCCAAGGGTTAGAGATGTAAATCAAGAGGAAAGTGCTCTTTGGCATGTGTAGGTGTGGGGAGGAGGGGGACTTTTCTTTTTTCTAATTTATTATTTTTATTTTATGTGTATGAGTGTTATGCCTGCATGTATATAAGTGCACCCGTGTCATGCAATGCCTGAGGACAGAAGAGGCTATCGGATTCCCTGGAACTAGAGTTATGGACAGTTGTTAGCTGCCATGTGGGTGCTGGGATATGAACCCGGGCCTTCTGCAAGAACAGTCAGTGTTCTTAACCACTGAGCCATCTCTCCAGCCCCAGTTCTACTTTTTTTATTCAAAAATATATTGGAAAACAAACAGCCCTGGGTTATTTCAACCTTCTGTGATTTTCCCACTTCTCAGGCACTATTCTACCCTAAAGCCAGCTCAACTGACCCTCCAAGGGTCTCACAGAACACATGGGAGACTACAGATGAACTGTGAGAAAGCAGTCACACCAAGAACAACGGCTAGAAGCATAGTGAGCAGCTGCATTTCGGTATTAGCAGCTGAAATGGCTGCTTTCAAGCCCATCACAGGATGTCACTTACTTTCTAGGAGATGCTCCTGCTGGGTGTCCTTGACCTTGGCTTGCTGAATGTCCAACTGCTCGATCAACACCCTGTTTTCATCTAACACCAGTTCTGCTTGAGCCTGAAGCTGGTGCCTACGATTGAGTTATAAGATTAAATATTGTCCTTTAGGTCTGAAGTGATCTCAGAAACACACCCGAGTGCCAGCCAACAGCTACCTGGACACGTTTTAATGTTGAACATATTATTAACTCAGCAAACGCTGCCTCTTGTAGTGAATAGGGGAAGGACAGAAGTGATGCCTGAAAAACGGACCGCACCAGTAACTGCAAGAGGCACACAGAAGAGGACAGGGAACAACCACGTACACGATACTCAGGTAAGACAATCATAAAACAGCCAGTTCCAGTCCCAACACCCAGATAATTATTTTGAAACCGACATGAAATTTTCTTTTTTATTTTATGTGTGTTTTGCCTACATGTAAGTGCAACCATGCATGCAATGCCCATGGAGGCCAGAAGAGAATCCCCTGGAACTAGAGTTACAGATGGTTGTTAGCCACCACATGGATGCCAAGAACTGAACCCAGGTCCTCTGCAAGAGCAGCAAGTGCTCCCAACCACTGAGCCAGCTCTCCAGCCCCAATGAATTTTTTAAAAAAGAATTTTAGAAGATCCTATTTTTAAAATTCCTATTTGTAGCAGCTGGGCACAGCAGTCAATCCCATAATCCTCACATCCAGAGGCTGAGGCAGGAGGATTGCTTAAGCCCAGGAATTCAGGGCTAGCCTAGGCAACATAGTAAGACACTATCTCTCAAAAAACAATCAGCCAGCTATGGTGTTACATGCCTGGAATCTCAGCACTTGGGAAACTGAGGCAGGAGGAGGTCTATCTGAGGCTAGGCTGGGCTACTATGGAGACTGTTGATTTTTTTTTTTTAAATCAAAAAGCCAAAAGAACTTGTAAGAAGATTTTGAAATGGTTTCTTAAAACTATACAAATATACCGCAGTCTCAATTTCACTATGAGAAAAGCCCCTACTGAAGACAGGGTGCTGTGTGGTTCAGTTCAGCTTCCATGATTACAAATTAGAGAGGTGAAGAGACTTCAGAACTTGTCCAATTAAACGTTTACTGGAAACCAAGAGAAAGAGGGCAGGAGCCAGGCTGCCCCAGGCTCCCTACAGCAGTGGCTGTGTGGAGGTACCCACCTGCTGCCTACACCACAGAGCCATAAGGCAGGCAGCAGCCTCCCGGCCCCACTGCGGCTGCTCTGCACTGGATCCGCTCCGCCTCTCCACCCTCTGCCCCTGCTCTTCTCAGCTCCCTCCACCCTTCACTGCTTCAGTCCTCATCACCATGTAGCTCAGGCATGCTTCACTTCTGGTCCTCCTGCCTCAGCCTCTCAAGTGCTGAGATTATAGGCATGTGCCACCACGCCTGCCTCTGTTCCCTTTCTTTTTTAAAGGAACACTTCATTTCATCAAAAAAAAAAAAAAAAAAAAAATGAAACCCTTAGATTTAGTTTAGCATTTAGCACTGACTCCCAGGGCCCACGAAGCCTACAGCTCCCCAGGTGGTCAGAAATCAGAAAGAGAAATACAGAGAGAAGGTGTGGCCTAGGAGTCCACTGAGAAAGTACTGGAAACCAAGTGGCTAGTGTCTGTGCAAGTGTGCAGTGCTGTGCAGTCAGGCAGTAGTACACCCAGGACTAGAGAAAAGCAGGACCTGGGCTTAGTGGCAGGGGTGTCCTTCTTTCCTGGTCTTAATGACCTGCTATCTCGTAAGGAAACATAAACAGGCTTGAGTCATGGCTACAGCCTGACAGCTGTCCCGAAAGCTGTGTGAGGGCGGCTTGGGGAGACCTAGCTCAATCTAAGTTCAACAGGGAAGTCACAGTTCACCAAGGCCTGGTGGCTGGCCAGGCTAACCCCAAGGACACATCAGTGACGATAAAGTCACAAGAGCCGGACTGACAGGAAGAACGCCGCTCACTCAGTGTCAGACTTCTGTAAATGCAAAGTGCCATTCAGACAGTTAAAAATACTAAACACGGGCTGGAGAGATGGCTCCGCGGTTAAGAGCACTGACTGCCCTTGCAGAGGACCTGGGTTCAATTCCCAGCACCCACATGGCAGCTACAAACCATCCTTAACTCCAGTTCCAGGGGAATCCAAAGCCCTCTTCTGACCTCCATGGCACTGCACAACGTGGGTGCACTCACATACTTGCAGCAATATACTCGTACACATAAAATAAAAATAATAAGGAAAATATTTAAAAAAAAAAAAAAAAAAACTAAGCACAAGCTGGGTGTGGCAGCATGTGCCTTTAGTTCCAGGACTCAAGAGGCAAAGACAGGAGGGTCTCTGAGATTGAGGCCGGCCTAGTTTACATAGAGTTCCAGGCCAGCTGGGAGGTGCTGCCTCAAAACAAAATAAAACAAACAAATCTACAAAACAAAATATCCACACAAAACAAGTAACTTTTGTTTTCTTAGTCTTGCCTAGTTGTTACCTTTAGACTTTCAGTGGTATTTACTTTCTCTTAATTCACGGGGCTTGGGTGCCTCTGTGTGGGATACAGGGTCACACAGAGAAGAGCAGGACACAGTCCCTGCCCTTGAGGGGGTTGCAAAGGAGAAAAGCAAGAGGGTAAGACAGGGACAGAGACAGGAAGGTGCTATACAGCAGGGACCAAGACAGGAAAAGAGGCCGTGCAGGGTGAGCAGGACTGCGCACCAGCATTCAGGGAGGGACGGCAATGGAAACAGAACAGGAGAGGGTGACTGCAGCTGTGTGCTGGCCTTAGCCCCGTCCCAAAGCCATCAGAGGGGTCTAAGCTTGCAATGGGAAACTGCCCTAGAGAAATACCGCCTTAAGAAACAAATGGAAAGGCAAATGAATTTTAGGTTGATAACCTATTTCAAGTATTAATTTATTTACTTACCTATTTTTTATTTTGTGGTGCTGGGGACTGAACCCAGGGCCTTGTTAGGTAGCGAAGTACTGTACCACTTAGCTACATGGCCAGGGCTATAGTTAAAATTTTTTTAATTCTTTTTTTTTTTTTTTTTCCGGTCTTTTTGACACAGGGTCTTCCCTGTAGCTTCAGCTGGCCTGGAACTTGCTATATAGACCAGCATGGCCTTGAACTCAGATCCGCCTGCCTCTGCCTCTGTGTTGGGATTAAAGGCGTGTGCCACCACACCCAGTTTTTAAATTATCTTTAAAGTGTCAATTTACAGTTAAATGTGGTGGCACAAGCCTGTAAGCTAAGCACGGGCAGGTAGTATGGAAACTTCAAGGCGAGCCTGAACTGCACAGAAAGACCCTGTCTCAAGAAAGCAAGGGCTGGGGATGTAATTCAGCAGTGAAGCATCTGCCAAGCATACTCGAGGCCCTGGGCACTACCCCTAGCACTTCGAAAAAGAAAAATGATTTTTAAAAATTCCAATTTAGAAGAGTGTACTGAGATAGCAACGTACCCTTAAAGTACTTAGTTTTTTAAAAAGAAAACACATTAATGTATTTGGTAATGTCATAGTTTGTTCCTGTTATCTTATTTTTAATGAGCAAAATACCACTTGCCATTTTAAAAAGAAAACACATTAATGTATTTGTTAATGTCATAGTTTGTTCCCTTTATCTTGTGTTTGAAATGAGCAAAATACCACTTGCCAGTCCTCCCTGGTAACAGGACTACTCTTATTTAACTCTTGGTGCAAGCCTTCATTTTCTTTCACCACTTCTTGGACTCGAATCCTAAATGTTCTCATTTCCTCCTGAAATAAAATGTACGCAATTGTAACACACAACCAGACTGTCAGCATCAGCTGTAGTGCTACTGCTGTGGCTAAAACCAAATACAACAGCCATTTGGCAAAGCTTTCTCTAGCACCAGCCTTAAACCCCAGGTAACGGAGCCCCTGGCGTGTCCTCAGGGAGCACAGCCTAAGAGAAAACACCCAAGATACTGAAATTCACTGAGCATAGTGACAAAGAACCTGGGTTTTAAGTACTCAATTATTAATTTGATAACATTTTGTCATAGCTGCCAAATACTTGAAAAGTTAAATGGGAGGGATTAAAAACAGGAGAGATACTAGAACTTCTTCTTTGTTTAGACTTTACAGGATAAATTAGAGTTTTTTATGTAAAAAGAATTTTCCATCATTACTGAAAGCTCAAGTGGGTGGGTAGGAAGGGGTGTTGGTGTAGGGCAGGTTCCTAATCTTGTTCTGTGCCAGGAAGCAGTCCTTGCAGCTTGGTCAGCCCCCGTCGTGACGTGAGGCCTGCAGCTGGGCAGATCTGGGCTCTTCCTGCTCTGCGTTTACCACTCTTTGCCTGGGCCTCAATGGAGATGCTCCTCAGCCAGCAGCACCTGGCCAGCCTGTGTCTTGTGCACTCCTTTGGTGAGACTCTTAGGTGCCCACATTTACTCTGGGACACTTTGACTCTCCCCACCAGTAAGCATTTATACTTACATCTATGTCTATCACTGACTGATGGTATTGGAATGAAGCTACAGCTCTCTGCACGCTAGGCAAGTGCTCTACCACTGAACGAGGCACATCCCTAGCCCCTCGGCTTCTTATTTCTTCAAGTAGCATTTGAAAAGTAACTTCTCCTCATCTCCCTTTCTGCCAGGACACACTCGCTAACTGCCTATCATCCACCTGGCTCTTTTTTGAACTGTCCCAGCAAAGTAAAGCCAGCAGGCAGCTGCCTGTTTTTATAAATAAAGTTTTATTGGAACAAAGTCCCACCCAGCACTGACATGCTGTGTAAGGCTTTCATGCTTCAACTGTAGTAGCTGTGGACAGAAACTACACAGCCCACAAAGTGTAAAGTATTAACTGGCTCTTTATAGAAAATGTGGGCTGATCCTGATTTTAAAAGAGCACCAAAATGGTAATTTTTCTAAGATTGATTTTTGATCAGTGAGCACATGATTAATTTATGCTCTCTGACAAATTCGGTGTCCAATAGAATCATGAAGGTTCATTGGCCAGGGCAGGTGACGGACACATGACTGAAGCCCAAGCTGGGTGGCTCTGAAAGGACACTTCCCACTGGGGGCCCCTTAAAGACCAGCCCTTCTCTCCCTGGACCCTTCCAATACAGAGATGTACCAGCCACTCAGTGAGGGCCCCAGAGGTGTGAGGCATGGAAGGGCCCATGTTTGGTTTCCTGACCATAGAATGCATCTGCTGCCAGAAACACAATCCCAGGAAACAGGTAAACAACACCAAAATACACAAAACCTTGCTTGTGACAATTCCAACAGCTCAATTATTATACCTCTGGGCTCAGCACTTCCTGGAAACAGGAAGCATTAAGTTTCCCTAAAACACCCCAAACTATGATGGTCTCTGTCCACCCAAACATCCCTTCTAACAGTGGTGCCTTCTCACACTACTTCTAACGGTGGCTTTCACACTACTTCTAACGGTGGCGTCCGCGGCACCTTCTCACACTACTTCTAACGGTGGTGTCCGTGGTGCCTTCTCACACTACTTCTAACGGTGCTGCCCATCACTCCTTCCTCATCTTCCTTTACTCCCTCTTCTCTTCCTTTCCTCTCCTCCCCTGCACACTCCTCTCTTCTTACAACAAACATTGCACATCTACCACATCTTGGGCACACTTACCTTCAAATTGCTTCCGCAAAGTTTGAAACAGTCTTATTTTTGACAAATTGTGTCTCTTTTACGACACCTGCCCACCTACCTCAAGGCTGGCGTGGAGCTCCTCCTTCTCTTTCATTCTGTCTTCATAAGCCAGCAACAGCGGGGAAAGGTACTTTATATCCAGCTAGAGACAGAGGAATGAAGACACGAATGACTGATACACTTCTTACATGGAAACCCAAACATCACACTTTTTAAAAATGCAAGAAAACACATTTTGGAATGCTTATTAGTTTGATAAATAGAGTCAGAAAATATGGGCCTGAGATTAAGTAGCTGTCACTTACCAACCAGGGTGGTATAGGGCCCTCGGGTGGGAGGCCTTCAATATGTGAAATCTGAGAATAAAACACATTAAAGACAAGATAAACTATACTGCCTCTGAAATCCTGTGACGTAGATATTCTTCATCTACAGCAGGCATCATTCACCTCCACGTGTATGCATGCAATGTGTGCACAGTCATGCAACAATTATTTCGGAAATGTTTAAGAGTAATGTCCCTTGTCCCGAGTAGATCATTATGTAGTTTCTAAGAACAAACACATTCATTACTTAACTATATAGTACTATGTAAAAATCAGGGAATCAACACTGATATAATGCTATTTTCAATCATTCAGACTCTAAATTTCATGTTTTCTCATTGAAAAATAATAAAATACGGTGGAGAGAACAAGAGAGAAAGACAGCTAACATCCTTATGGATGATGAGCACCTACAAACACAGTGACTAGGAGAAAATGCCACAGAAAAAGTGGCATCTGCACAGGGTAAAAGAAAAATGGGGGAGCGGGAAGAGGCAGGGAATCTAAGAGGTGGCAGGAAAGCTTTCACTGGGCTTGCCTGCCCTGGCCCACCCGTAGCCCTGCAGGATCTGACCTAGGCAACATGTGACCCCCTACAGGTTCAATTTTGTTACTAAAAAGAAAAGATGGACTGTAGCTGGGCACGGTAGTGCACGCCTTTAATCTCAGCACTCGGGAGGCTGAGGCAGGTGGATCTCTGTGAGTTCAAGGACAGCCTGGTCTACAGAGTGAGTTCCAGGACAGCTGGGGCTACAGGGAGACCCTGTCTCAAAAAGAACCCCCCTCCAAAAAAAAAAAAAATGATGGACTGGAGAGATGGCTCAGTGGTTAAGAGCACTGGCTGCTCTTGCAGAAGACCTGGGTTTGATTCCCAGCACCCACATGGCAGCTAAGAACCTTTCATAACTCTATTTCCAGGAGACCCTATGCCTTCTTCTGACTTCTGCAGGTAGTACATGACATGCATGCACTTACATACATGAAGGCATGAAGGCAATATACACATTTAAAAAAAAAACCTCAGGAGCTAGGAGTGTAGCTCGTAGCTTGATGTAAAGTGCTTGCCTAGCATGTATTAATGGCTTGGGCTCATCCCAGCACTGGAAAAAAAAAAAAAAAAAGAAACTCTGAAATCTACAGGTGGAACTTCCAAGAGCCCCCCACCCCAACAGGAGACTGCTGTGTGGGTAACAGCTTCCCTCTGGGACCCCAGCAAGAGCCAGTTAGTGACATGTCCTCTTCTGCTTCTGAATGTCTGTCCCTCATGTTCCAAAGTCTTCAGGAAGAGAGGTCCAGCCTTTGCTTTACCTGTACTTCTTGACATGTCTGATCTAGGAGCTTACTTAGAAAGCCTATGGACCGGAATTTTGTGGTCACTCTTACAAAGTAAAAATCTATCTACTTCCTTTTTAACAGGTATTGACAAGCCGTAACTCTGAGGAACAGGGCTGAGAATGGAACAGCTGACAGAACTTTCCACCTTCTCCTGTATTAAGTTGCTACAGTGCCCTAGTGTTTCACAAACAGTCTTTATTGCCTTTATTACGGGCAGGATGAAGAAGAGATGGGTCCTGTGCTTTGGTTACCTGCTGTGCTGGACAGCTTTCGTGTCAACTTGACACACCTGGGTTGAGGGAGCCTCAATTGGAGAATTGCCTCTATTGGACTGGCCTGTGGCCATGTCTGAGGGGCATCTTCTTGATGAGTGATGTGGGAGGGCCCAGCCCACTGTGGGTGATGCCACCCCTGGGCAGGTGGGCCCGGGTTGCATAAGAAAGCAGGCTGAGCAAGGGCCAAGGGAGCAAGCCAGTAAGCAGTGCTCCTCCATGGCCTGTGCTCCTGCCTCCAGGTTCCTGCCCTGAGTTCCTACCTTGGGCTCCCAGATGAACTGTGACCTGGGATATGTAAGCTAAATAAACCCTTTCCTCCCCAGGTTGGGAGTGGTCAGAGTATTTTGTCACAGCAATGAAGAAACAAACTAGGACACCTACTATGGTTTGAGTCTGAACTGCCTCCCCAGCTCAGGTGAGGTTTAATTGAATACTTGGGTCCCCAGATGATGGCACTGTGTTGGGAGACTGTGGAATCTTAGGAGACGGAGCCTGCCTGACAAGACATAGGGCCACAGAGGCAGGCCTTGAGGGTGACAGGCCAGGCTGCTACTAGTCTGGCTCTTTGCTTTCTGATCTGCAGGGATGTAACAAGTTGTACTGTGGCTCCCTCTGCCATGAACGCAGCTGCTTCAGCACCCAGCTTTCCCTGTCATGACAGGCTGTGCCCCATGGCCCACGAGCCAGACAAACCTCTCCTCCCTAAGCAGCTTCTGTCAGGTATTGTCACAGCCTTGGGAAGAATAAATAATACAATACTTTTTAAATGGAATAACTGTACTTTTTTTTCTTCTTTTGCCCACAGGCAAGGTCTCACTGTATAGTTCGGAGCACCTCTGAATCAACATGGTGCCCAGGCTGCCCTCAAGCTCACAATCTTTCTGCCTCAGCCTTCCAAGTGCAGGGATGGAGGCATGCCCCACCACTACTTCTGGAGACTTTTTTTTAAAAAAAAGAAAAAAAACAGGGTTTCACTATATAGGTATAGCTAGCCTGGGATTTGCTATGAAGATCAGGCTGACCTTGAACTCACAGAGATCCACCTACCTCCGCCTCCCAGAGTGCTGAGATTACAGGTGTGCATCACCATGCCTGGCTAAATACATCTTTTTTATGTTAAATGGTAATAATGAAGAACCCCTCAAGAACAAGAAATCCATTTAACAGTAAGGCTAGAAACAAACATGTTTTTCATAACTGGAAACATTACCTCTGCTTCAGACAAACGCCTGAATTTTGTTTGATAGCGACTCAGTTCTACATTCAAACGATGGACAACCATTTTCAACCCACTGTTTTCCTCCACCAGGTCTTGGGCTTGCTTCCTCAGAGAAAGCAATTCCGGTGTGGCTCCTGAAATCATCAATTTAGTATTACACTACAATAAATTATATCAAACTCATCAGGATTTGATATGTCACTAGCCATGTTTTCTGCTCGCTTGTAGAGCCACAGATGCAGTGACGTATACACCAACATACTATATGCGTCTGTATAATGACATATAAATAAGTTACGAAGGTTATTAAAAATGGTACAGCAAATAAAATCAAATTTTGACAAATATAAGGACATAAAGAATATTAAATATTACAACATAAAAATTCACATAAACATCAATATATAACATGAAATACTGCATCTCAAAGTGAGTAAGGTCCTGAGGGTCCCCATGATAAATGGCCGGCACCTGTGCCCACCTTCCTGAGCGGATGCTTTCTCCGCCTCCTTCAGCTGCCTGTTGTCTTTCTCCACTCTCTTGAGTTTTGACTGCAATTCTTTCATTGCTTGTTTTACTGCATTTAGTTCCAGGATGAGGGCTTGGTTTGTAGTGTTTAAGTGCAAGTTTTCTTCTCTTAATTCCTCAAACTTTTCTTTGGTTATTTCTACACATCTTTTATGTATTCTACCAGTTACATCTAGAAAGGTACAGAGAGAAAGCTTAAAAAATATTGATAGTCACCATTTTACATCAAAAACACACAGCACTTTCTTCCAAAATCACGTGAACAACTACTTCATATCAGGCCAGGGCTGTGGCCTTGGTGCCTAGAAGAGTATCGGAGGTGCAGTGGGTAGCGGGCAGAGAGGTGACAGAGGGAAGCAGGGCCACAGGAAGCCCAGCATTTATGAGGCAGAGCAGAGGTTTCACCTACAGGCCTAACATCCCTTTGACTATGATGTAAATCCTTAGGAGTTTATTAACTTTGCCAACCACAAACTTCCACCAACACAAAAGCTAAGAACGCCATCAGAGAGCACATGAAGTAACAGCAGAGATTTCCTATCTTTCGGTAACCCACCAGCCTGAACTTCCCACCAACACATTTGGTAAATGCCATGATAAAATATTTTAGACAAGCTGGGTGTGATGACATACGCCTTTAGTCCCAGTGCTCAGGAGGTAGAGGCTGGCTCGTGGAACTCTCTGAGTTCCAGGGAAACCCTGTCTCAAAAATACAAAATAAATAAATAAACAGTGAATATACACATATATATATATATATATATATATATATATGTATATTCACTAAGACCTATATACTTAGACCTAAAATACAAAGCCATGCTTTGATCTGTGACGTTGGAAGATCATCTATTGGAAAACATCATATTCAAGGCAACCTGATCCCATGCTCCTGGGCCGCGATCACTCATATTTAGCTCAGAATAAATTATCTCTTACTCCTTTTGAGGCAAGAGCTGAGTTTTGCTGACAGAGCCACAGCTCCATGTGCCAGGAGAGGTCCATTGCACAATGAGGCCATGGCTGTGACAGGCCTACCCAGCAGGAAGGAGGAGATTCTAAAGAGATGCACTGTGTGTCCCTTGGGCTGTAAAACTACTGAAACAAGGAACCCTAAGAAACTGAATTCCACAGGAATCTCATACTGGGAGAAGAACTAGTCTGAACCGGTCCCAGTCAGAGGAGGAGCTAGTCTCCAGAGAGACTTCACAGGGTGCTTAGCAATGTAGAACTCTGGCCCTCCACTTAAATCTAAGCCTCATGTTGGGACCCTAAAGATGGACTTGGCGGGGGTGTCACTGGAGCTCTTCAGCCCTTTTCCCAGTGTGGCAACACTGAATAAATCTTTTTCTGCTTTTCACTATTAATTTGACTCTTCCAAAAAAACTTAAAATTTTTTAAATAGTTTTTATTTTATGTGTTTGAGTGTATTGCCTGCATGTATGTGACTGCACCCGTGTTGTGCAATGCCGCGGAGGTCAGAAGACGGCTTTGGATTCCCCTGGAACTGGAGTTAAGGATGGTTCGTAGCCGCCATGTGGGGGCTGGGAATTGAACCCGGGTCCTCTGCAAGAGCAGTTAGTCCCCTTAACCGCTGAGCCATCTCTCCAGCCCCTCAAAAATACTTTTACTTATTACTGTGTATACATGATGTGTGGATGCTGGGGGTGGGGGGGCCTGTGTACACAACATAGCACGGGTGTAGAGATTAGAGGACAACTTTCAGGAATTGGTTCTTTTCTTCCACTGTGGGATTCAGGAATCATACTCGGTGGCAAGCACTTTATAAGCTGGGCCATTTGACTAGCCCCTAATTTGGTTCTTTTCACTGACTTATTGAGGACAAGTGGTCAAGTCTGGTTTGTTAGTGATGCCAGGGCCTAGGCTCTGACCCTAATTCCACAACAGCTCCAGGGGTACCCCTGGACTTGGTGTGACAAAATGGCTCACAAGGAGTTCATGCAGGAAGGACCCAGACACCAGAGTGGTAGAATCATGTGACAGACCCTGGGGGGAGGGGAGGCATTGAGGCCAGAAATGTGTGGCCCTGATGCTGGGCAGGCAGGGCAGGCCAGGGGGCTGCAGAAGGAGGAGGAAGGGTTTGCACATTCCCCAGCTAGCTGCACATCCTCCTAGCTCCATCTGTCACTGGAGACAAGCTAGATGTTGGTAGTTACTGGCTTCCCCTCTCTCAAAGCAGCCTAGCAGAGAAGCTGCATCCCTAGGCAGGGTGCAGGGTCCCCAAGGCACAAGTGAGCATGTCACCAAGAGAAGAACCAAGTATCTGAGCCATGAGAAGAAACATCAGCTGGGTAGAGAAGAGGAGCTGCAGCACAGAACCCAACACAGCTGAGGATAGACAAGATCTTCAGACACCTCTTAGAACCTCAGGGACATCGTATCATCATGTGATAAACAGTCTAAATTCAGATGGGCTGCATGGTGGAATATTCTCAACAGAGAAAGTGCCTGTGGGCTACAAGTGAGGGTACTAGAACTCAGAACACAACCAAAAGCCAAGACGAAGGGAAAATGGAGTCAATCCAACATGGAGGACAGATTAAAAAAAGACTTCCAGATGAGTGATGGGAGACTAAGAGCCTCAATCTACAAATCCACTCTGCATGCTACCAACACTTCCCAACTATGCAGGAAGAGAGCCTCATAAAGCATCAGCCCCTGAGAGGCACTCCTCTGTGTATAAACCAACACCCTGGGCACTGAGCACACCCCACAGGTCCACCTCCCACCCAAGGACTCAGCACACTTCCCCAGGCCCACCCTCCACACCACCTAGCACACCCACCATCTAGAAGTTAATCTTTCTTCTCTTTTTTTAAAATTTATTTATTATTTTATGTGTCTGCATGTATTGCCTGCAAGTAGGTAAGTGCACCGTGTCATATAATGCCGGTGGAGGACAGAGAGGCTGTCAGATCCCCTGGAACTGGAGTTACAGTTGTTAGCTGCCATGTGGGTGCTGGGATTCGAACCCAGGTCTTCTGTAAGAATAGACAGTGTTCTTAACAGCTGAGCCATCTCTCCAGCCCCTCTTTTCTTTTTCCTTTTTTTCTTTTGAGACAAGGTCTCACTATGTAGCCCTGGATGGCCCAGAAAACTATATATATCAGGCTGGTTTGGAACTCACAGAGATTCACCCGCCTCCAAGTGCTGGAATTAAAGGTAGGTGCCACTATGCCTGGTGCCTAGAAGCCAGGGTCTTTACAGGGAAAAGTAACCCTTTCAGCTGAGATCTCCTGGGTACTCTCTGAAATAACAAGCCTGCCCACCATAACAAACCTCAAGGCCAGTACCTGGAGAGGGAGGAGGTTTTTCGCACAGCGGCACTTTTTCATCCTAGGAAGGAAAAAGCCAAGTGTGAGCAGAGTCTCTCCACAGTGGGAAGGTCCCACCAGGTTTAGAAGCACAGCTCCTCCCCTCATTGGCTCCTGTGGTTCTTTGCTTTGGTATTTGGAACCTTAGCCTCTACCACCTTCTTCTAATGACTGTTACAGGTGGGGTCGGCCTCTCCTTGTGGGCTCTCTGTCCTGTTTCAGTTCTCTTTGTCTTTTGTCTATGTGATCAGTGACCGACTGCATCTGTACCTGGAGGTCCCATGAGAGAGGGGCTGCCAGGTCACTTTCTACATAAAGCACAGGATATGGCTGAGTACAGGGCAGCCCTGGGACATCACAAGGCCTTATCCACAGCAGCAAAATGTTTTCCAAATGCTGAGAAAACAACAGAGTACACTCCTGCCCCTCAATCTGAAACTTAGGAAAATGGAAGGCTGCGAACTTGCATTAACTATCCCACTATGTATCAGGGTATTATTAAGGTTTGTGTTTTTGTTTTATTATTTTTTTTTAATTTTTATGTTTATGAGTATATTGCCTGCCTACATGTACATTAAGTGCACCCATGTTGTACAAAGCCTGCAGAGGTCAGAAGAGGGTGTCGGATTCCCTGGAACTGGAGTTACAGTTCCATGTGGGTACCGGGATTCTAACCTGGGTCCTCTACAAGAGCAGTCAGTGCTCTTAAGGTCCCTATTAAGTTTTTAATTGCTCTGAAAAAGCAGGGAAGATTAACTCCTGAGAAATGTAATTTTGTTCTTGCTGCTTTGTTTTTTGAGTCAGGGTCTGCTATGTAGCCAAGCCTAGCCCCAAACTCATGCTCCTCCTACTGGGACGAATCCCAGCTCCTAAGGTTACAGGTGTGTACCACTACACCTAGTGAAAAGGTTAAACTTTTAAATTCCCACAACTGAAAACTTAAGTGAGGACTAGTTCTGTTTGCAAATTAGCTATTAAAATCTCCCACCAATTCTACAAATTATATGCAACTTCTAACTTTTAATACATTGTTTTCATTACTAAATTTTAGAAAATATGAACTTCCTCACACTTTAAAGTATTTAAATGAGAGCTAGGAGGTTGGAGAGATGGCTCGGGGTTAAGAGCACTGGCTGCTCTTGCAGAGAACCTGGGTTTGGTTCCCAGCATCCACATGGTGACTAACAACCATCCATAACTCCAGTTCCAGGGATTGGATACCCTCTTCTGACCTCCTCAGGCACTGCATGACAGGGGTGCACTTACATACATACAGGCAATACACTCATACACATAAAATAAAAAAATATTTTAAATGAGAGCTAGGGTGCAGTTCAGTGATAATGCACTTGCTAGCAATCATGAGGCTCTCAGTTCAAGCTCTAGTACCAAACAAAGGAATATTTAAATGAAGCATTCAGCAAGAAAGAACTCAAAGGAAGATTGTTTTTTTCATACAAGACTGTGATCATGGTGGAATTAAAAGATCATAAATCAGGGCTGGATTGAGGGCTCAGCAGTTAAGAGCACTGGCTGTTCTTTTTTCTTTTTTCTTTTTTCTTTTTTTTGTCTTTTTGAGACAGCGTCTCCCTGTAGCTCCAGCTGTCCTGGAACTTACTATGTAGACCAAGCTGGCCCTGAACTCACAGAGATCAGCCTGTCTCTACCTCCCAAGGACTAGGATTAAAGGTGTGCACCACCATGCCCAGCAAAAATTATTTTTTAAAAAAATAGTAATTCTTGGGGCTGCAGAGATGGCTCAGTGGTTAAGAGCACTGGCTGTTCTTGTAGAAGACCTGGGTTCAAATCCCAGCACCCACAGGGTGGCTAACAACCACTGGTAACTCCAGTTCCAAGGGATCTGATGCCCTCTTTTGTCCTCCCCAGACAATGCAAGACATGAGTGCACTTATACACATGCAGACAATACACACCATATATATAAAATAAAAATAAATTAAAAAATTAAAAAGTAAAGCTTACCTCTAAATTCAGAACAGAGTATTTGCCATCTGATTAAAAAAATAAAGAAAAGTTGTAAAGGGGGCATAAGGAATCTGACACATCAGAGCACAGTCACAGACTCAGAACTTACCTTGTCCAGATGAGTGGAACAGGGAGGGTCCCTGGCTGGGATGTTCCCACAAGCCCCTGTGGTGAGCAGGTCCCAGGATGAGGCAGGAGCCTGCCCTTGGCTCACTATCTCTACAGTGTTCATTTCTGAGCCCCTACAGTGGCTGGCGTGGCCCTAGAATCAGGGCCAAACCTCTCAGTGTGACCTTGAGCCTCCAAGACTGGGCTTTTGCCATCCTTCCCCCACCCCCAATCACATGTTCCTTCTGCTGGCCAAAGACAGCCAAAGCTTTACTCCACTCTGCCCACCGAGGCTACAGGGGTACATACGACTAGGTCAGAAAAGTAGCAAAAGGCCTCAATGACACAGATGGAAACAGATCCTGCTAGGTCATACATGGTAAGTAAGGTAACCCAGGTAGAGGGTACCCTCCACCCAGTTTGCCCAGGCACTTTTCTATAGTGAGAGGCTGGAATCCTAGGCTGCTTCTAACTTTCCACTATTGATATGCAGAGTTTAAATAACTTGCTGAACAATAAACAGAAGACATTGAAGAAAAAAAAAAAGAAAGGAAAAAAAAGCTTTACAGGGTTCAGAAAACCAACTAACATGCTTAAAGATACACACAACATTCTAAATCTACTCCCTGGCTCAATAAAATTATCAATATTTGAACAACCTAACACCAAAGAGCCAATTTTTGACCAAGAAGTCATCCTTAACAGTTGAAGGTTTTGCTATGTGTTTGTTTTTGGTTTTTGCTTTGTAAAACAGGGTCTCAAGTACCCCAGGTTGACCCTGAATACTGGGTAGTCAAAGATGACCTTGACCTCCTGCCCTGCCTCCACCTCCCAAGTGCTGGGATTACAGGCATTCACCACCACATTCAGACTGAACCAGGGTGTCCTGCATGCTAGACAGGCACTTTACCAATTGAGCTATATACCCAATCCCATTAGCAATAGTTTTTTTTTTTTTTTTAATAATGCCAGGCATGGTGGCTCATACCTTTAATCCCAGCACTCAGGAAGTAGAGCCAGGTGAGTTTTGAGGCCAACCTGGTCTACACAGAGCTCCAGGTCAGTCAGGGGTACACAGCGAGATCATGTCTCAAAAAAAAAAAAAAATAACAAAGATTTTCTAATAATTTTTAAAATTATGTATATATGTACGGTTCTCTAGGTAGGTATGTATATATAAATATAAGTGCTGTGAACCGAACTTGGGTCCTCTGCAAGGGTAGAATGCATGCTTAACTGCTCAGCCAGCTCTCCAGCCCCTACTGTCAATGATTTTTAATCAGTTGCTTTCAGTCCAATGTCCTGGGACAGCCTGGACCACCTGCATGCATTTGTCACCTAGTGACACCTGGATCTGTTCTTTGATGCTAGCTTTGCCTCCCAGAAACTTTTTTTTTTTTTTTGTCTTTTTGAGACAGGGTTTCCCTGTAGCCCGGGCTGTCCTGGAACTCACTATGTATAGACCAGGCTGGCCTTGAACTCACAGAGATCTGCCTGCCTCTGCCTCTCAAGTGCTGGGATTACAGGCACGCACCCGGTTTACGGCTGTCCTTCCCCCCCCCCCCCCGAAACCTTCTCTAACTACAAGGTGCTGATACTCATCTCCCTGGTCTTTATGTCACTGTGTCACCCTCCCATGCACCTGGGACTGCAGTCTGCAATCTAGCTACCTCCTCTGCCACTGGAGTGTGAGAGGAAGGGCCTATGACTGTCATCTCTGTCAAGAGGGAGGTGCTGAATACATTTCTTTATAAAAACTACTGTGTGTGTGTGTGCATGCGCGCATACACCATGGCTGTGGCCACCAGCAGGGCAGCCCCAGGACCTGAATGGAGTATCAGAGAACTGAGTATATAACCAGGGGACCCATGTGGCTTCTTCAACATGAGTGCCTAGAGCACCGGCAGCTCTGCTTTTATTCTTATGGCGTGAGAACTACAGCCCCATGTCTACAGAGCTGAACAATAAAACGGCTTCTCATGCTTGTGAGAGCCACAGTCACATGTTTACAGAACACCGAATAATGGTAATATGGCTGTAATATAACAATCCAGCAAAATAAGATGAGCACAGCAATATTATCTCCATGCTATGTCTACTTAGGAGGTCAACGTGTTCCATGAGAAACAGGAGGGGAGCACTGGCATTTCGGGGATCTCTCTCCAGCAAGCATTCTTGCATAAACTTTCTCATGAGACACAAGGCTCTCCAGACATCTGTTGTGCTCAAAGTTCAGCTTAATTCACCAAGCATGTTTTTAAAGCCATAGGACCACTACATCAGTCCCTTTTGCATGACACACGTGTGGCAGTCAGGACAACATTCAGGAGGAGGGTCGCTCCTTCCACTGTGATTGAACACAGGTGGTCAGGCTCAGTGGCAAGTGCCTTTAACAGCTGAACCATCTTGCTGACTCCTGAATAGACTTCTGATGAGCAAATGGTTAAAGAACTACAAGAAGAAAAATTATTTTTTTGGTGCTGGGGATGGAACCTAGAGCCTGCTACAGGTTGGATAAGTGCTCCACCACTGAGCTGCACCCTGGCAGTTAACACTTTTCAGTTTGTAGCCCTTCCATACTACATCAGATCTGACTTTGAATTTAATAGCCTTCCCCAAATAAAGCTGCAGTTACAGAAGCTGGGTGTTGTTTAAAATGATCAGAATATGGGCTGAGAGAGGGCCGAACAGTTAAGAGCACTTGCTTCTCTTTCAGAAGACGTGAGTTTGGTTCCCAGCACCCACATTGGGTGGTTCACAATCACCTGTAACTTCAGTTCAGGGGATCTGCTGCCCTCTTCTGACCTCTGCAGGTTCATTCCTGCACACATGTAGCATACACTCACACAGATACATACACATACACATAAATAAAAACCAATCTTTTTTTAAATGATCATAATAAAGTTGTCAAGGGCAATTTACCTATTTTCCCAAAGAAAATAATGATCTCTATTTTTTTCTTAGCCACCAACTTTTCAGAAAGTAAATGCGATGAAGACTAAACCCACCATCTGCTTCATCCCAAGTTTTCTTGGTCCTTGTATTATGCACTAAGTTCACCTGGCTCTATGGATGTATTTTGTTCCTTGTCTCTTATTGCTGATGTGTCTGAGGAAAGACACTATTACCCAGAACTCTGTCTTGTTTTATGTGAGATTGGGTATTGCTATGTAGCCCAGGCTGACCTTGAACTCTCGATCATCTTGCTTCATCCTGCATGCTTGGCCCTTGCTTTCTCATACAATGTTCCCAGTGCCATTATCTTTCTCATTTCTACATCTATGTGGACAAAGGTATACAACTGAAATAACAAGAAAGGTCTCCTGTGTCAGACATACTACTGCATACAAGACACCAGGATCAATACTACCCCAGTCTTTACTGACAGAAAATTCACACATGAACACATCCTTGCTGTCAAAATTCCTAATGATGCAGATAAATCAAAACTCCTCTTGGGCTGGAGAAATGGCTCAGTGGTTAAGAGCACTGGCGCTCTTGCAGAGGACCTGGTTTTGACTCCCAGCACCCACATCGCAGCTAACAACTGTCTGTAACTCCAGTTCCAGGGGATCCAACACCCTCTTCTGACCTCTGTGGCTACTGCACAACATGGGTGCACTTACATACATGCATGCAATACACTCATACACATAAAAATATATATATTTATATTTGGGGGGTCTTTTTTGAGACAAGGTCTCCCTGTAGCCCAGCTGGCCTAGAACTTGCTAGGTAGAACAGACGGGCCTTGAACTCACAGAGATCCACCTGCCTCTGCCTCCCCAGTGCTGGGATTAAAGGCCTGCGCCACCATGCCCTGCTAAAAATA